CAATTCACTTTGTGATCAGTGGTAATCATTCTGGGAATCATTCTATCTTCCATCGTTTTTTTTACTACGAGATCTGGGCCGGCCCAAAAATAGCTAGACATCCTTTTTGCAACTGTTGTTCTGTTAAATGTTCTCATTGTAAGGATCACTACCTAATAAAAAGATTTCAAGTGATCCCGCCTACCCCCATGCTTCAAAATTCTAGTTGTTTCAAAGTCACCAACATCAGAAAATTTCAAGCAGGAAAAATAAGACTACACGATAATACATCTTCATGTTTGCTGTCCACAAATCAAAAGCAGCACGTAATTTTACATTAGCTAGATATCTTGTCTTCTATCTGCCGAACTGCAGGCCCATATTGTGTTCTTCCTTCCTAACAGCTTATACTGACCTCAGTAATAGTGATCGATAACAGCTAAAGCATATTCGTCCATCAGCTCATCAGTAGTGATATCTGCAGAGAAGAGCTGGAAAATAAGTGATGCGATTCTTCTTTAATTCGCCACTCAGATGCGGCCCCTCAAGCGTAGGACTCTCCTTCTTTTCTAGATGTTCCTGGAATGGTCAAGCTGTGCGAATGGTGCGACCTCTACAGCTTTCACTCGCTTGAGAACTCGCCCATCTTGGATGTGTACGTCGGCTAAAGTGGTTTCTCGACACTTATTACGCCCCATATGAGCCGTTTTTACTTATCAAAGGCATTGTCCATGTGGGAGGCAATGAAGGAGAAACTACATCACCGCGAAATTGATACGTGATCAGGGACAGATGAGGTGAAATGAAAAAGAAGAATCAGATCATGCCCTTGTTGAATGAGGTGACCTAAATGAGGGAAAGTTTGGCTATCGTCAGCCAAGAATGATGCGATTGGATTGGTATTCTGATATCTAATCTAATCAACCATTATATTTCAGATATACCGCGGTTAAATGTCTTTATGCCAATGTCAAATGTGAGTATGCAGAACACTACAATGTTAGACTGGAGACAGACAGTGGACATGTGCTGGCAATCGGAGAACAAAGCGAAACAGTGCTTGAGTGCATCAATGGAAGGTGAGCATGCATGGCATTTGAGAACTCTGAGGAAAATCAGGAGACGTGCTCTCCTAAATCGAGGTAGTAAATGGGATACTTCCTGTGTTTGTCAAAATGGTGGCAGGGAGTTTGCAAATGACAAGCGTGTTTCGTAGAAATCAGTAGGTTCCATAGAGAATCGGTGAAATACGGCTTTGCTCCGTACAAGTAGTTTACATCGGATATACGAATTTCGATTTCTGAACCTGAAAGTCTGCTCGAAGCTCAAGTCTTCACAGGGACGCAGGGATGGGCTTCGAGGAATGCGGTTTATGCAGACGAACTATGAATCGCTTCATTGGAAGCTGTATCTAAGGTTCTTCCTTGGAGGGCATAGAGGGTATAGAAACCTGGAAATCCGATAGGTCTGAAAATACCTCCTCTCCATAACTAGAACTATAAGATGCTAAAATAGGAATGCTAATATCAGGGAGCAGTACGCATGTTCACAATAGGTTCTGTGGATTAGGCGGCTTTTGGGGGCAAGAAACGTCACTGTACATTCCATGTAACGATGGTTTGTACATAAAACTTTGTTCTCTGAAGATAACTGAAACTTTACGAGTGTTTTCTGCTCATTTCGCTTTATAATAGTCACACAGTATTAAGGAAAGCATACCAAAAATATCCAGTTCAAACTGGTAGATTGGTGTATCAAAACATGAACTTTTGAGTAAAAAAGACCTCACAGAGTATCAGCAATCTCCTATCCTTCCTCAGCCCGATTTAATACATTAAAGGCACAGTTCACGATAAAAATGGTTTCTGAGATTCCCCCACAAGATGAGTTTGAGACCCCTGCATATACCATATTTTTCACTATTAGGTCGGAAAACGGCTTAGTTAGGAAGTTATAAACGCTCAAAGATTGGCCCTGTATGTATATCCTCGGCGAGATTCAGTGGCATTGTAGAGGCTGCACCGATCACATGGGATCCCATGTAGGAAGTTCAACCAACTTGTCATGACCCATAGCGGCTTTGAAAGACATTTCTGTACACTTCCCACTTAATGTATTCAGCTCTTCACGCAAGCAACAACTGAACCCATTTATTTCCGTCATGCCAATCTCGTCCAAGCTCCGTTTTCCCTTCATCTGTAGGGACATATTTTTCTCGGAATCGACGAATTCTTCGCTTTCTTNCCAACTTGTCATGACCCATAGCGGCTTTGAAAGACATTTCTGTACACTTCCCACTTAATGTATTCAGCTCTTCACGCAAGAAACAACTGAACCCATTCGTTTCCGTCATGCCAATCTCGTCCAACCTCCGTTTTCCCTTCATCTGTAGGGACATATTTTTCTCGGAATCGACGAATTCTTCGCTTTCTTCGCTACCGATGAACTGTCTCCAATCTATACTTCGGCTTTTCGAATGAGAACGGGTACCTCAAACTTATCGTGAATTGTGCCCTTAACGCGGGCATTGGCAAACTGATAATTTTTCCATTTTTGCGAGTAGAACTGGAATGCCTGAATACCTGAATACATTTCTTTCTACTGGGAGCTTATCTCATGTGATCCATGCACAACTAAAGTATGGGTCCAGGTGGAGAAAACAGTTCTCCTCATCAAAAGCGGTTATCGAGAACTATGTACTTTATGTATATAAATGATCAAGGTGAGGGTGCAATGATAAATGTAGTCCATGTTATTTGTTACACAATCGCCCTTGAATCACATTAGAGCTTTATGCCGTAGTGGGTTAAACAGCTTTTAACTTCAAGAAGACTACTTCCATCGTAAGTTCAAAACACTTATCTTTCACAACATCAAGGAGTGAACAAAGTAGGCCAAAGCCATTCAGGGTTTTTGAAAGGAAAGAGAAATGACAAAGTCATGAACGTGAGGTAGAGATCGTGCTCTGATGTTTATTGAAGACTGCCTCACATTCTGCAACACCTTCAGGTGGATGACAGACGGCTTGCGGAGCACGGATGTCGTATTCAACAGCCTTCGATGTATTCCTACAGAAGGCTTGTGATTTCCATTTTCACAGTACACAGATGTCTTTCAGCACTTCCAGATCAAAAATAAGTTCCAGTCTGCAGGTGGATCCTCCAACAATGGTCGAGAATTCAACCAGTCCCGCATTAGTTATTTTGACAGTTCCTTCTACACTCTCACGCAAGTCTTTCAGCACTTCCAGATCAAAAATAAGTTCCAGTCTGCAGGTGGATCCTCCAACAATAGTCGAGAATTCAACCAGTCCCGCATTAGTTATTTTGACAGTTCCTTCTACACTCTCACGCAAGAATTTAAAAGCGCAACATTCTTCAAACCAGCGACAAAGGTGCCCTACTTCCTTAAAAATAGAGGACAATAGTGACAGTATAACTGCAATATACTGAACTGAAGAATGGGCTTAACTTTCCTCTACGTACAGTTCCTCCAGAGAAATTAGGGTCCGTAGAAGGAATTTTCTTTCATGACTATCACATACGTCAGGGGATAGACTTATAGCTTTTTACGGTAAAAACGCGTGCTCTACAGGTCGGGTTTTAAAAAAACATTTCACGTCCATTCTGAATAATATACTCAGTATAGTCTGATTATTCCTTACCGAGAAGAGTTTCTTGGCTGAAAATAAACGGTAAGAAAAGTGGATGAATGTTTTGGAAGAGGAACCTTCAGGTGAGCTTTGCCACCAACATGACTAATTGATGACTATTTCCAACAGAAGAAAAGTGGTATGACCTGTGCAGACTACTATTCCAATAGGCATTCACTCGACGAAAATTCTGTTGAATCCGATTATGCAGTCCCACGAAGGCAGCAGGACATCGGGTGATTCATGGATGTCGAGCTCCCTTATTTTTGGTAGTGTAGTCGAAAAGTCGTAATCTCGCCTGACATTCCGTCTTTTTCCTGGGAAGAGTGCTATGTGTAGCCCATCACTACAGTACGAAGTGTAATAACCACATGCTATTCAAAGGAATGGGTCACTATCTGAGTAAATTTATGGACCGACTGGTCCTCATCATGGGATGGTACTTGTTTTGCACACCAACTGTTTTTCAAGCAGCGAAAGGTTCAGGAATGGAATCAATCCGTCGCTGCAACTTTCCTGTTGATATGGGTAGCAAAACTTGTGATCAACATGCAACTATAAGAGTGAGTACACAAAACCGTTTTTTCCAACATCCCTAGTAGGTTGAAGGTAATCTGTAATGAGAGAGTAAGGCAGTGACCACAAGCTGACACCATACATGTAGGTTGTCTTTTGAAAGTTGCCTTCTATCTTTATAAAATCTAGTGTACGTCCCATACATAAGTTGTCCAGGAAAAATGGAAACATTGAGTTCTTTCACGTCTTTTCTTCGCTGTGACTGCAGTAAGCCCTTAGGAAATGCCGCCGCGAATCTGATTAGGGTTCTTTTGTTCGATGCATTCAGATGAGCTCAATAAACTTGGGACACTTTACTGTTCTATAACAGCTCTTTAGAGTAGTAAGCTCAAAAGTGAATCCTCTAAAGGACTTATAGGTGGGCATAGAATGGTGGTTTTACGATAAAACTACGCAGCCCTTTCTCTTACTGTGACTTTTCAACTTTTTACACTTGACTTCTGCAGTTTCGTTTTTCAGTACCATTTCGACGCGGAAACGATGACTTGTTTACCGTTCAAATACGCAGGATGTGGTGGAAATGCGAACAATTTCTACTCCAAGTCAGAGTGCACAAACGAGTGTTTGCCAAGTGAGCCGAACTGAACTTCTTCCTTTTCGAAACAACGAAAAGTTTTCATGAAGTGATGTCAAATACCGTTCACATTAAGTGGATCATTTAAAATGCCCAGCGAATTCGCCTCCCGCCCTTAGACCCGATGGTAGTGCTGACTGCGATATGGAAAAAAGAAAGTGTCCTGAAGGTTCAAGTTGTGAGATGGGATTCGCAGTAGGAATTTGTTGCGATGACCAAAACCTAGGTAAGCATCAATGCAGTAAGTAGGACCTACGTCCTTTTGGGAGAGAAAGGAAGCTTTTTCAGAAAAATATATTGCGAATATGAGACCGGACTGCGGTAACAGAAAAGTCGTGATGGAACGTGACGGCACATTCGACGTAAGTTTTTCTGCTACAACGCCCATTATCATGGTACATCAATCGCCGAACTACTTGGTAGATCTTCGTTTTCGTGCAATTAGCTAAAATCTAGAATAGAGACTTTGGACGTCGAACAACTCGATAACAAATATAATACGTTCTCGTGCTCTCGATTTTGGTTCAAAACCGATGATTCGTTCGAATTTATTGGGCTGATCCAAATACTTAAACCAGCGCCATCAATGCGTCTCATTTCCTCTGAACCTGAAAGGACCCCCAATCCGGTAGGGTTAGGCTGCATCGCTCGGAAGAGGCTGCAAAGCTCACTAGCTTATAACAACTTATCTATATGCATGAAGAAGGTCTACGATAGTGATCTGCCTCCAATTCATGAACAAGTGCCTTAGAAGCGTGTATAGGTAATCTGATGTTGCTCGTCATGAGGGTCAAGCGCGACGGCATTGGGCTCACCGATACGAAGAGGCTTTGCACCACCCGGACTAGAGAAGACCTTTTTCTCGAAACATGCAACAGTAGAGGCGTCAGCGATGTGGGAGTCTTCGTCAGCACGCACTTGGCCACAAGCATCAAATCACGAGCGGCTGTTCAAATCAAAAGATGTGGCTAAACCTCAACTCTAACAGCTGTTCAAGTTTTTGAGCTGAGCTTTCCAAACAAGACACACTTTCCATAGATTTGCCATGAATTATCGATCTACTTGGAAAGCGTTAGGCCATCATTCATGCTCTCGAACAAAAACTGCAATATTTTTTAGTTGCTCTGATCCCATATTCTTATCGGATGAAGGTCAAACTGAAAACAACGTCAGAATTCAAACTTAGAATCTCTTTTTGAGAAAAAATTCGACCACAATCAGGAGTGTAAAGAGGAAGTCCGGTATCCTCTCTCCGGAAGTGACGTAGTCCTCGCCGCACCCGCACAGTTTGAATTCTCAGCGGAAATATAGGAAAGCCGCCGCGTGACCACTGAAGCATGCCGTGGGAGCTCGGGAAGAAGTTCCGTTACTAAGGAAAAACAGAGCTTCCTACATTGGAATGGAGCATTACTTTTGATAAAGCTTCGAATTCGGAAAAAAGAAGAGCTCTTCAAAACATCATCAAACCAGTAGCAAGCCCTGGCAATTTTCCATGGGATGAATTTGACGCTCTCCTTATGTCATATGTGCCGACGTTAGGTCGAGGAACGCTATAGATAGGGCACAATTAGGGCCAGACATTGTATCGCGCGAATGCCCACCCACAGCGGACGAGTTTAATCGGGGTTGTGGGGGCTGCACTATCTCAAGAGACTCACGTGTTGGGAGCTCAAACAACTTAATATGACCCATGGCGACAGGGAAAGACAGCTTTAGACAATTTCGACTTGATTTAGGCAGCTCTTTGTGCAGTTCCAGCGACTGAAATCACGTCCAAACACTCTTTCATGCCATTTACGTAGTGACAATCTCGTACAACCTCTATTTCCATTTCTTTGAGAAAGTTTTTCCCCTGTAGCAGGCGGTTTTCTCGCTTTTTCGCCTTCGATGCACTAATTCAAATCAACACTTCCGTTTTTCAACGTAGAGAGGGTATCTCAAAATCATCGTGAACTGTGCCTTTGAGTGCTCCACGACCAGTATTATTCCAGGGGAAGCCTTTTGAAGTGCATTCTACTTTGAGTATTATTTAATGTGAGTGAACAGAGAGGGACGAGTTGTACCCTCTACACTTATCAACTCTTATCAAGGGTAAAATTGAAAAAATAGACGATTCAATGTTTCCGATATTCATTGTTCGCCACTATATGTGAAAAAGTGGCTGTTTCAGACCATCATGCTTGGGAAGTCTTGTGACCATCAGTTCTGTCCGCTAGGCGCCGAATGTCATCGTGGCGCATACTTCGCCTACTGCTGTCACTAGCCACTGCAGCCACTGCTGTGTTCGTGTTGTCAATTCGTAACAGTAAAACTTGAAGAATATGTCGTGCTAAACTTCAATTACATGATGGTTACCTCTAAAAAACAAGTGTGCTGTGTTTTACAAGCGCTTAATATTTGTGTGTGACTGTCTTCTGTACGGTCATATTTATCCGTGGTATTCGTAGCAGGTGTACGAACCGCAATCCTTTTCAGCAACTCACTGAAACTCATTGGCGCGTGATAAAGGAAAAGAAAATGCAAGGAATTATTGAGGTTTAAGAAAAATGTGTGTGTAATTTGCTACCGTGGTAAGCGCTATACTGTAGGGCTCTCCAGTTATGGAAAGTTAGCGGCAGCAAAAGCAGCATTATCACGGCAAAGCTGAACGCTCAGCGCATTGCACATTTTATTCAAATTAAAAGGTTAAGTTCTTCTCGTCTTTGAGAAGTGCTCACGCATTCCAGAATCGTAGTGACGTATTGTATGCGAATGTGGCCTCTGTACAATGACTTGCGGTGGTCAGTCGATGTACAAGTCACTCTTTCATTCTCCCAGACATACTGGTTTGGTACTAATTTATCGATTCCGAAATGATGGAAGGCTTGGTGTATATATTGGCGGATTCGAACCCGCGACCATGCGTGTGTGAGTGAGCGCCATTTCCACCATACCACCCTTTATCCAAACTTACATGCAGGAAATTATTGAGAAGGTGCAGTTCCGTCATCTGTAACGATTGAACATAATCACTGAGCTATTTCGCCTTCATCCACAACGTTTTTCAATGATCTGATCATCACTATCTATTATTCCATTTCCACGAGCGTTTAAATCTTCAAATGAACACACCTTCGAGTGTCAGGATTTTCTTCAATATTTTCATAGCCAGCTGACGACGGACTCTTTTCTTTTCACGGAGCTGGCGAGTTATGCACAAAACTTCTTCTTCGGACGGGACTCGAATACTTTTGTTATCCGGGCACTCTTATCCTCAACACTACCGAGACCATGTTGGAGTTGAGTTGCTGATAACATCCGCTCCAAGTGATATGTTCTGGTCCGAGAGATCGGGAGCCTCGATATCAGCGAAACGCACACATTGATACACTTTGGGCGTGTCCACCAGACATTAGTGGAGTCCTGTTCAAGTCGTGTATGTTAAGTGACTCGGTTCATTCCCCACTTACTCCAAATTGACAGCGTATTTCAACACAGACTACGCTGATTTAAAAACCCTCCACTCCTCCATCCCACAACGCCTTTACCTATTCTTTGCTCTCGCCCTGTGTTCGAAGTCCGCTCCTGTCATTTACCATCGGCATTCTATTATATGGCTGCCGCCAAACCGAATTGAAACGCGAGGGGTAGAAATTACAATCTTTGCGCACTTCCCGCTCCCTGTGGGTCTAGTCCAGTCCGGCTTCTCACCATCAGTGTTCTCATCCTGCCACCTCTACCCCTACCAAATTTGAACTTCTAGGTCTTAGTTTCCGAAGATCTATGTGCCTAAGGCGCTGCAACAGTGATGGTCTTGCATTAATCCATTCGGTAAGACTTTTGGGCTAGTACACTTTTTTTGTTGTAGTGAAGGCAGATTTAACATCAGTATTTGGCAAGCGACCGGTGCCAATTCTAGGGAGAGCCCACCCAATTACGCGAAAATTACGATTTCTTGTCGGCTCTCATAGCTCATAGCTTTCGCCCACAAAAAGTCAATATTTAAACCCTTTTTCCATCATCGTGAGCATAAATTCTTTGCTGAGTTACTGGGATAATTGACAGTCAGGCCGAAGTTACTGGGATAATTGACAGTCAAGTTCTGGAAACTGACATCGAAATGAAAAAACGTGATCCCTTATTGACTTGCAAATACTAAAATCGTAGTCGAGGAGATTATGAAGCAAAGAATGCTCACGTTTGATTCCTCCCAAATGGTCCTTGTCATCGAACCTTTCTGCCACTCTATCGTCACGTATTATACTATGAAACGTCCTACCATATATAACGCGCTTATCTGTTTGTGTGTGTCGATGTGTATGCCCAACCAGAAAATCATAGCTCCTGTTCCCGTAGACCTGGAACGTTCAAATTTGGTGGGAGTATAGGGAACTGGATGGGAACACTTATGATGCGTGGCAGGATCGGACTATCCGCTCACAGAGCGGTAGCATACACGACAGTGGGCGGTGTCTTGGGCAAAATGTCTGAGTTAGGTTTCATAACAGCCCAGAAGCCGGAAAAACATGTACATAGGTGAGAGATAGGTCGACAAGTAAAATGAAGGAAGCTCACGGGAGGTGGCGTTCTCGCAGTGGCACGCAAGGACTCGATTAAACGGACGCGTGAAGACCAGAAGAAAGTGAAGAAACGAAATGTGCAAGGCCTTATGCATGCAGACATAGGTACACAAACATGTTGAAGCTCCGCCCACAGTGGGCGGGCGAAGCTTCAACATGTTTACGTTCGAACGCTGGATCCTTTTTGTAAAAACTCATAATTCTGTCCAAAATCATCCTACAACACGGAAAGTAAGTGGATAGAGGCTATAAGGGATATGATAAATCCCTGAAGTGGACGGGGCTTGCACTTAGGTAGACTGGGCTAATATTAAAAATTCATAACTCTGTTCAAAAACGTTCCAGAACGCTGGAAAAGAGTGGCAATAGGCTATAGAAGGTCTGTGGTCAAAACTTCAGAGTGGCCGTAGTTCGCACCACAGTGGGCGGGGCTAAGATCAAAAATTTACAACTCTGTGCAAAAACATTCTAAAACGAGGGAAAAAAGTAGTTGGAGGTAAGGGAAGAATGTGGTCAAATATTTGACTTGACTCGAGTTCGCACAGGATGGGCGTGGCTAAGATCGGAAACTCTTATCTATGATTGAAAGTGTTCTAGAACGCGGAGAAAATGGTTAGGGGCAGCTAAAAGAGGGTTGGTCGAATTTTGGTATTGGGGTCTACACTGAGGTGGACCTCGCAATGTTCAGCCACCAATACCTCTACACAAAAAATATATCAAACTCGAGAAGCGGCTGACCGTTAAAGGCACCGTTCGCGATGATCCAATGGGCGTGGTGTCGATGACATGTCCACCTCTCATTCGATGTCACGTCAGACAGTCAGACGTGGCGTCGAATGAGAGGCGGACACGTCATCGACACACCCGCCCATTGAATTATCGCGAACGGTGCCTTTAAAGTCTAGAGAGAACCCAATCCGTGCGCGCACGTCACAGCCCACTGCAATATAAAGATGACATGCACTAGCCCGTGTTACTTCTATCAAAGCGAGGCAGGGGACCAGGTTTCGACGGACACGAACAAAGTGCACAGCTCGTGACCGATTCACCTACACTCCCGACAAATCTCAGGTCACTCTTCAGATGTCAAATACTGTCGCCTAAATCTACACCCTGAAAAATGCAGGGCGACATTTTTGGCAAGCCGGCCACTGTTCGAATCTAGTTCGTTGCAAGACCACGCTATCCTCCGTTCGCTGCAACTTCATTTTGACGCTTGGTTTAAATTGCTTCTAGCGGCTCGCCTGAAACCAGCGTTGTTATTTTTCACCTTTACCTATTCTTCATTGCTGTTTTCGTGCGCTCCCTTTCCCACCTACTATTATTTCAGATTTGTATTTGTGTATGCGTGTCCTTGACTGAATTATTTGTCGTTATTTTAAAATACTGCTATCTCTGAGCTTCATTTAGACTTCTTGTCGTTTTGTGTACTTTTCGAAGCTCTATGCTCTTCACTTTTATTGGTGAGCTTTCGGCATATAATGCCTTCGTCAGACCTTAATTACTTACAATATATTGCTGCATACAATCAGTTACTATCAGTTACAATACAAAACACATCGAATCATACCAAGTCAACCGGAAATATTGGGGAAAGGGGGAATGGACCTGTCGGCGGGGATCTTGAAGGGAAAATGGAAGCCGCTCTTGTTCTGAGGTGACTATGTGTTATCACGTGATCAGTCTCAGTAGGTCATGCAACTCCTCTTTCGCATTGATTTCCGGCTTGATGCGGTATATTTCCCGTGCCTCCATGATTTTCCTTTCCAGTGGCCGTACCAAATATCTGTGCAAAACCCTCACATCAAAGGATGGAGCGTTTTCTTTCTCATGCCTAAGTGTACGGTGCCTGGAAAAACTGCTGTGTGGATAGGCAGCGGGATTGGCCAACGCTCTTCTATGTTCATCCAGACGAATCTTCAGTGGTCTCGCGGTCTCCCCCACGTACTTTTCTCCACATCCTCCACATTGAATCAAATAGACAGTGCCCTGGAGTTCACAGATCTTCTCAGAAGTGCAGTATCGACAAGACTGTTCGCGGCACCGTCTTTCGTAGATTCGGGATGATGTTAGGAGATNTCACTCTCTTGCACACTGATTCAAACGCGGACAAAGTGCTCTCTTCGTACACGGAGTCGTCTGAAAGCACTTTGTTGGTGATAGCCTTATCCATCGTTTGAGGCATCACTACGAAGGAGCCGCACTTGTCTCCAACAGTGTACCTCAATACCTCCTTCGCTTGCAGTAGTTTCTTCACCCCTCTGCGTTCAGTTGGGGTCAGATTACTGCGATAAGGCTCACTCATCGCGTTTCGATAAACGCGTTGAATTCCGTGCTCGAGGTTCGCAATTTCAGAGTCGATTTCCCGTGAAGATGGTGGTGTTCTTATACACTTTCCTTTAAATGGCATCAGTGACATTAAAGTCGCCTGCTGGTCAAGTACGGTCGGTCCACGATGTGTTCTGCAGCGTAACTGATAGGCGAATTGATGCACTCCACAAAGCGCAGCGTCAACTACTTGTTGGTTGACCCTCGGTGTTATCGCAAATGATGGTCCTAGATTGAGCACTGCGGCCATATCATTATCAACTTCATTTGTCCCAATTACCACATGACGTGCTGGTGGAACAGCATTTGCTGTGATAAAATGTGGTTGCTGGGACTGTCGACGCGATCTCAGCAGGTTCAGCTTTCTTTCGAAGTG